TAACCTGCAATTGCCTCAAACCATAATCTATCATTGACAACTTTCATTGTAATGTGAATATTTTCTTACTGATGTTCATAGGTCCACAGGGAATATTAGTCTAATGCTGTACTATACAAATACAGCATAATTTGAATCTACAAATAGAATAGTACAATCTCGGAGTGGTCGTGCCTGCCTGTAATCTAGGAGAATCACTGCAAATTCGAGGACAGCCTGGGCTAAAGTGACTTCAAGGCCAGTCTGAACTGCATAGTGAAACCCTGTCTCAAAAATATAAAAAGAATAAAAAAGAGCTACACATTTAATTCACTCATATATACACGATTAACATCAAATAATGTAATTGTCTGTTAAAAACACAACACAGTTAAAATAACTACAGTTTAGAAACCTGCTGAGTTCCTCAATATAGGAAGCGAAATCTAACATGGGATAAATATTTTCTTCCCTTTGAGAAGGAAGAAAGACATGATACAAAATTTCCATACGAGAAACATGAGTTTAGAGAAGAAATGTGATAACCACAGGAGATATGGAATGGAAAATACAGTACCAGAACACTAGAGCAAAACTCATATAGAAATAAGAGAAACAAGCTCTAACAGTTATCTTATGTAGACTTTTAGGAAATTTTTACCAAATATTTAAAAATTAGAATATACTTTCCCCATCATAAGCATAAATGAGGAGCTAGTCTTGGTATTTGCTTTGTGAATTGGATAGATTCATCTGAGAACCAGATGTTTTACATCTGATTTAGATGGTGACAAACATAAATAATTAGAAATCACATATATATATATATATATATATATATATATATATATCTCACTGAATGGTGTGACTTTATATTAAAAATCAGATGATACAGAGACATCTCCCTAGACTTTAGAAAGTTTTAGTGCATATGTAATATCAGAGGTTTGATAATAGTGAAAAAAATTAGATGAATACTTTTACTGTAAAACAAACTTCCATTACATAATATGCAGATTAAATCTTAATCACTGAAACAACTTTCTGCAAGGTGAAGACTGCAGACTCTCCAAGATAGCAAGCTAAGAACTGATTTTCCCAGACTGATAACCGGAATGCACTAGTTAATATAGTTTATTATGTGTTGTGCAGAAACAACTGCAGTTTATTAACATGCATGCACGGGACTGAGAATTCAGCATCATGTATCCCATTGGGAATTATACTTTAGATAATCACTGAAGACATGGAAGGAGAAGTGTGTAGTCTACAAAGGGAAGTAATTAAAATGTCAGCATGAACTTATATCAATCATGCATCTGTAAGTCTTCAATTGATAGTAAGTTGTAATACAACAACTGTGAAACAATTAAAAATTGTGACGGTCCATTGCTGTTTGATTACATCTTCATTGAACAAACACCACTTATTAATAGGGACATTATGCAAGTTATTTTACAATATCCTTAAATTAATTTGAAACATTACTCTTTCTAGTAATATATCAGATTATTCAAAAGCAATCAAGGCAGGAACAACAAAATTTTTATGTGAAAATGTAGAGTTGAATAACATCAGAGAAAAATTTACAATTCAAATTATATAACTTGAATGCCACATTAATTAGATTACTATAGTGGCCCAAGATAGATGTATTTTGTGTGTATTAATTTTTTCAACAACATGCATCTATCTAGATATTTTCCTCATTTTTTTCCCTACATCATCAAACTATGATGGCATGTAACAGTTGAAAATTACCCTGAGTTTCATACTCTTAAGTTTCCCTATATCCTGCAAACCAAAGGAAGGTAAACATATTTAATTGGGAACAGTTACATTTACTGTAAAGAAAAAAAGCCTTGAAGTTTTGAATCTGATTCAAACAAACTGTGTATTTCCCAATGAGATATTGTTAACAGATAGTTTGTGATGGATAGTTTGTGACAGTTTGGCATTGTGTTACTTGATGAGTTAAAGCAAGTAACAGTGGTTTAAAATTTTAGGCCCTACATAACTTACTATGTATCTATAGGAATTTGAAGTCGCAGCTATTGCTATAGCAGTGAAACTCGCAGCAGAATTAAATATGGAAAATATTAACAGATAATTTAAAAATCCATGGTATTAGAATAGGGATGGCACAGGTTGGGATGAAAAACTGCCTTTTTATAAATGCCATCGTTTGAGATAGGTTTCTGCAACAACTGTACTTGGCAAAATCCTTTAATTGGCATGCCCTGTTTGATTGACTTACAGCAAAATTTCAAATACATGAGCCATACTTATAAAATTTAAATTAGCTAAATGTAGAAAAGGTTAACATGGAGATGAAAAAAAGTTTCTTTTCATAAAAATAATTTACTTTCAGCTGGGCATGGTGTTACTACACACCTGCAATACTAGCATACTGGAAGGCTGAAGCAGGAGGGTCACAAGTTTTGAGATTAGTTGTGTAGACTTAGTGAGACCTTGTCTAAAAATAATTTTTAAAAGGCCTGGGAATGTAGCTTAGTGCTAAGGTCCTGGGTTAAATTCACAAAAAGAGGTATTTACTTTCATTCAGTAATGATCAGCAGAGGCTGTATTTGCACAATTTTTCCTTTTGACAAGAAGAAAACTATGGAATGTTAAACTCAGACAATTGCAAATTAGTTAATTTATTGATCATTTGATTTCCTTGGGTTTCCAAATTCAAAGTGGTGCATTTCATGTACGTCATATTTTCATGCTACTAAAATACCTGCTTAGAAAAAGTAACTCTAGTCACCTGAGACAAGCATTGTCATATTTTCTTCTAAAACTTGTTTGAGTTCTATGTTGCCAGTCTATAAGTAAAATACCACAATGTGCTTAATTTGTGAATAAGTTATGCATATCAATCTTTGGCTATTGCTGCATTTTAAAATAACTTGTAATGCCTAAATGGTATTTTGGTTGCAGATTTATGAAACAGATCACAGCAGCAGCTCAAATATTAACAACTGATATGCCAATGCATTTCTGCATTGTCAAACTTGCATCTCTGAGCATTTAATTTAGCATATTTTCCGTATAACTATTAAATGCCTTCTAATGCCTGCATAACACTATAATGTTACTGTGGTGGACTTCCACTTGGATAGTGGCAAAATATTTTTGTAAAGTAACTGAAACACAGACTTGTAGTGGTTAAGATGAGCGAGTCTTTTCCAGCTAGCTGCATCAGTTCATTAGAAGAGTTTTACTGTATTTTTAAAATTTGACCAGTTAGCTGCATCAGTTCATTAGAAGAGTTTTACTGTATTTTTAAAATTTGACCAGTTAAGTACAACAATAAAGTTTTGTCCTTAAACTGACTTTGTTCTTTTTCACCATTATAAATACTTTCTTTTGGAAAATTCTATTTTATCTAGTTTTTCTGCCAAGTGATAAGAAAGTGATCTTCAATACCTCCATTGTTTAGATGTTAAGTTTCACACATTTTACCTGTTTTGCTCCTGAACTATTTTCAACATCTCATCTGTCTGAATACTGAATAATGTTTTGGTAATAGTCAGTAGACTCATTTTAAAACCATCACTTTTTCTCTCTCTGTCAAAGGCCATTCTCTCACAGGAGATCATTGCTTCAAGCTTCCTGAGTCTAAAGCCCTTGCTTGGTTTTCTCACTCTTATGAGGGTTAGAAACAGCTCCTGCCAAGAAATGGGTCCCTGGGCATGGTTCAGGTGCTGAGAGTTTCCGTAACTTTTCTCTCATTGAAAACAGCCCCGGCTACTCTTTCCAGGCAAAAAAGCAGACCCATTCCAGTTCTAACTTGTCATTCTGTAGTCTTCAAATCTCTTAATGAGAGCAGTAGCACAAAGAATGTAATATTCTGTCTGTCCCACATTATACAGTAAAAGGCTATTTCTAGGAGTATAAAAGTTTTCACCTCAGTCATTTCTGTGTTTTACTTAATATAAGTCTCAAGAACAGCCCTCAGAGCTTTTAAGAATTTATCCTTCAACTTGGCTTCAACCAAAAGCAAAGTAGCAGCAGTTTGTAGGCCATGAAATACTATCAATGTATATACACTTCTCCTACAGTGGAAGATTATTCAGTTCGACTGAAATGTTATTCATGAAACTAGTTTAAAATATTAAAGTTAAAAACCAATGTTTGTTAACCCTAAATCAGAAGATTTGCTCACAAAGATTTAAGCTTCTGACTTAAAAACTCAGAAAATATCAAGGAGTTGGTTGACACTTAGGAAAAAACACTTGTAACCCTTAAAACTTAAGAGAAAACCAAGAAACCCAGAATTTAGAATGATAAATCCTGTTTCCACAATTCCATACTGTGCAGCTCCTCCCAATACCAATGATTAAAAACTAAAATCAACCCCAAAACACAACATAGAATTTCACCTTCCTGGCCTAACCAGAAATCCCTGGTCACAAGGATACAAGACTTATTAAAATTTCCACAGTGAAAAGACTAAGAAAACAAGCAAAAGTATGTTGTATGGCATGACTGAAATCCAGGACTGTCACAGGGGAACAGTTGTCTTCTTGGCTCCCCTGGGCAGAGGCCAACCGTAACAAAGGCCATCTGTCCCTCACTTCCCTTGAACTCTCCCAAATCTCACCTGCGATCAGCGCCTCTCCTCTTAACACCTCTCCAAAAACAGGAAAGCCAGCTGCGGAGCGAGAAAGCTCAGCGATCTGTCCTGTCCAGAGAGTACCAACAAATGCACAGCCACAGGGAATTGGCCACATAAAGATTGGGGATATTTTATGAGCAGCGGGGGTCACACTTGTAAGATAAAACGCAGAGTTCAGTCCTAAAGCCCCCACGAAAGCCTCAAGCTGTGACTGCGTCTCGCCCTGGCCTCTTTTCCACAAAACTGACCTTGCCCTACTTTTCCACGCAAGCACCAGACACACTTGCCCAGAAGTTTGCAAACTGAAGGCGCCCCCCGCCCCCACCATGGAATTCCCAGTGCAACCTGACCACTCAGTGAAGCCTCCCGGAAGAAGAAAAGATCAAATGAGACCGGCTCTGCGGGTCTTCCCGAGGTGACCCTGGAGCGAATGTATTTATTTTCACGCTGCAACTGCTGTTTGCTTTACAGAGACATATCATGCTGTAGCTCTGCGTGGAGCTGGGGACAAAAGAAACAATTTTATTAATGTTAAAATTATTATAATTACTCTTTAACAAAGCTATTAAATAACCTGTACAAAGCTCGAACCAGTCTTAGGGAAAACCCGAGCACTGCTTCAAAGGTCCCGAGGTCCCTCCGCTTTCATTCAGCAGCATTGCCCATGTGCACGGCCAGCTCGGGGTTCCGAAGAGCCATCCCGGCTTTACGCGGGGCTCCCAGCCTTAACCCGGTGCCCTTGCCCCTCCCTCTGTCCGGGAGTCGGGAAGCCGGGAACTGGCCCAAGCCGCAGCCGCTTGGGAGGCGGGCAGCGGGAGGCCGGCCCGCTGAGACCCCGCGCTGCTGCCCACAGCCCCGGGCCGCCTGCCCTCTCCCGTAGGTGCTGGGAAGGGAGTCCGAGGCCAGAGGAGCCCAGAGGTGGCTCACAGATCCCGCGAGTTCTCTCGCTTAACCCCGGCTTCAGCAACTTTGAGCTTCTTGTTTTGGTGCGTCTTGACGTGCTTAGCCAGGTGGTCGCTGCGCATGAAGCGCTTGCCGCACTCGGGGCAGGCGAAGCGCTTCTCGCCGGTGTGAGTCCGCAGGTGCCGCTGCAGCTCGTCCGAGCGCGTGAAGCTCTTGCCGCAGAAGAGCCAGTTGCACACGAAGGGCCGCTCGCCCGTGTGCCAGCGCAGGTGCGCCTTCAGGTGCGACGTCTTGCCGTACACCTTGCCGCAGCCGGGCACGTGGCACACATGTTGCTTCTTTTTGCCCGGCTCCGCCTCGGGGGCACCGCCCGCCGCCTGACAGTTGGGACAGCGGCAGCGGCGGCACCTCCTGGCCGTGGCCGCCAGGGGGGCCTTGGTCTGCAGCAGCGCGGCGATCTGGCTCTGGTACTGTGCGAAGTCCGACGGGCCCAGCACCAGGCCCCGCTGCAAGGCTGCAGCTGCCGCGGCGGCGGCCGCCGCGGAAGCTGGAAAGCGGGGGGCGTGGGGGGCCCCGGCGCAGGCGCTGGAGAGGCCGCCCCCCGGGACCCCGGAGGCCCCCGGGCCAGCGCCAGACTGCGGGATGCTCCACCAAGGGAGGTCGTCGGGGGCCGGGGTGGGCGACAGCTGGCGGCAGGCTGGCGGCGGGGGCGCGGGCAGCAGGTTGGAGTAGCCCGGCGGCAGCGCGGCCTGCGCGGCGTAGGGCACATAGGCGGGCGCGCAGGCGGCGGGCAGAGTGGTCATGCTCGAGGGCAGCATCTTGACCGGCGAGAACTCGTAGGGGTACGAGGGGTCGGCGGGGGGCGTGAGCGGGAGCTCGTGCGCGGTCCCGAAGGACGGCTGCAGGTGCGTCTTCTGCGGCGTCAGCCCCAGGCTGGGGTGCGGGGGCGGCAGCGCGCCGGGCGAGTGCGCGGGCATGTCGGCGGTCCACGGGTGGAAGAGCCTGGAGGGCGAGCCGAGGGCCGGGTCGTAAGGCACCTGCAGAAAGTCCGGGGCCGCCGCCGCAGCGCCTGGCTGGCCGATGCGGCTACAGGTGGCGGCCAGCAGCGCCAGCGGCGAGTGCTTGCCCAGGTCCGGGGAGGCGCTGGGGGTGCGGTCCTGCATGGGCGGCGGCGGGCGAGGGCGGAGAAGAGACAAAGGTTAGCGCTCCAAGCGCGGACTCTGGGCCAGCCCGCCACCCCCACGCCGGCTCTTATACCTCGGCCCCTCCCTCGCCCGGCCGGCCCTCCCCCGCACCCCACGCGCGCACCCACCGGTCCCGGGAAACTTTGGGTGCCTGTGCTACCTGCGCGCGGCGGGCGCGAGCGCTTGCTGCTAAACTACTTGGGGTGAAGAGGAGGCTCGAAGGGGAGGCGGAGGCATCGGACGGCCGCTCCCGGCCCCGCGGTCAGCAAAGGGCTGCGAACGCCACAGCCCGGCCGCCCATCTGCCCGCCCTCGCATCCTTTAAACTCTCGCGCCGCTCGACCCACTCGAGGCCGGCATTAGTAGGAGGACTCAGCAGGATGAACTCGGAGCCAGTTCGTCCAAAGCCCTGGCTCCACGCGTCTCTCTCTTTCTCTCAAAGGCCACACTCCTGACACCAGGGTAGGTGTGAAGTTGGTGTGGGCTGCCTAGGTCTGACTCCGGCTGCACCGCAGCGGGCTTCCCTTTGCGACTCAGGCTGCTGCTGCAGCGTGCAGTTCCAGGAGGGACCGCGCGGCCCTTCCCACCTGCCCCGCCCCTCCGGGCCCGAGCCTGACCTGGAGGAAGGCCTGCAGCGAGTCGTTCCGGAGGACGGCCACCGCGGCCATGGCTACAGCTCGGGGGCCGCCGGCCAGGGAGCGGGGCGCCGCCGCCCAGGCATGGACACCCGAAGGCGAGGACGCGCGGCCGCCCAGCGTGGCTCCCCGGCGCCCGCTCTGCGCGCCGGAGCCCTCCCCGCCCGCGTCCAGCAAGCCCGCTCGCTCGCTCGCCCCGCGCGCGGTCTGAGCGCTTCAGGATCACCTCCAAGAATTTGATAAGGACTTTGCTGGGCCGCCAGCCAGTCAGAGGGAAGATTTATGGCTTTGAAGTTTGCCGCTACCCAATCATCAAAGAATAGCGGCTCTTTCAGAAGCGAAAGCAAATCCTTTGAATCCACAAAGCTCCTATGGTGTGTTTGTTGGTCTGGATAAAAGAACTGATTATTAGGGGGGGATGGGAAGGGAGGAGATAAAGGCGGGACAATTAATGAAGTAATCACTATGTGGGAAATGTATATACACAAATAATTGGATTTTCCTGATCAAAGGGGGCCTTGCCGCCTGGAGACTCGCGCTTGGGTTGCTGGAGACACTCTATCCCCCGCCCCCCACTTGCAATTAAAGATTTGCACCGAGGCAGCGCCCAAAGTGACAAAGTGTCTTTGTTATCTGCAGAAAAATCTGCTTTCAGACGCGGGACTTTGAGACCGGGACGAGGGTAACTCTTCCTGGTATTTCTCGTTCACACACAGACCCTGCATACTCACCCGCCCGCGCGCACCGAGGGCCAGCGCGAGCTCCCGGGGCGGGGCGTGGGACCCGCTGCAACTGGTCTGCCGCGTGTCCCCCGCCCGGCGCGGTGGAGCCTCGGGCAGGGCTGTGACCCGGGGCGGGGCAAGGCGGCCGCCCAGGGCGGCAGTGGGTGGCGCGCACGCTTCAGAGCCGCCGCCCGAGGAGCTGTCTCAGCACTCTAGCTAAGTTCCCGCCGGTGACCTGGAAGTTTTCCTCGAGCCACAACTTTTGCAGAGTGAACTGGGTAAAACACTCACTTGGAGTCTCCTGCCAAAGCTGAGTTTGGCTGGACTCCAGAGCAACCCCAAACACAAACTCGAAGGGGAAAAATACTGTGTCGTGACGGCCTTTTCTCCCCAGGCAGACAGCCCTGGGCGTGGAGGAGGGCGGGGGAGATGTCCAACTACCAGGGGCTCACTGAGATCCCCGGCAATGCCTGTGATTTATCTCCCTAACCCCAGGCAAGCAAGTGCGCACTGTCACAAGCTAGAGCTACGAGACAGTTCTTGGGAAAAGTAAGGCATAGTCAGGAAGCCTTTTTTCTTGTGCTTCAACAAACGACAGATCATTCAGAAATACTGGAGGAGAAAGAAAAGTCTATCCAAACTCTTGTTCCTATCATCTTTTGGGAAAAAATTAAATTCTTTACCATGGGAAACGCTCTCCAAGACATGCTTCGCGGTCTCCCCCAACCTTGATGGCCACCTATGTCCTGCAGGGAGGACTGGTGGCTGCAGGGCTCTTTTTGGCCCAGAACACTGGGTGCCTCCTACCCAGGAGCTGGGAACAGCTGCATTGGATTCCCTGGGAGAGGAAGAGGCTGGCATGGTACCCTGGGGTCCTCACTGTGCTGGGGTTTTGGGTGCCCTTGTAGAATTTAGAGGCCTTGTGGTCATGGCTCTTGTGACTGCACAGTGAAGTGGGGTGCCTGAATTTGGTGTAGGCTGATCCTCATTTGGCCCCTCCACGAACACCATCTCCTGCTCACCAGACCTCAGGAAGCTCCGGTCCACCTCAGCTTATACCCCACCTATCTGCATATTGTCCCCAGGGGCCATAGTGTGACTAGGAGGTTAGCCACACCAAGGGCTCCACCTGTGGGCTGTATATCGGGACCCTTCACACTTCCAGCAAAAAGTCATGACCCTATGCCAGCGGACAGACGTCAGTCTCCTATGCCCAGAGCTGATGGAAACATCTATTGAAGACAAATGGGTCCTTCTCATGCCTTGCACTTTTGTCCCGTCCCTGCAGCAGGGAAACATCACTTCTGGAATCTTGAGTCGAATCTCAAAGTTTGGATGACCTGGTCTGTCTCCTAAACTTGAGGTTGGGATGTTAGGGAAGTGGGAAGGGAAGAGGGCTTAGTGGTTTCCTTTGAGGCCTGGCAGATGAATTTACCGAGCCCCAGAGGAGCCTGGATAGGAAGCCCTTTTACTGCAAGTCAGAGTCCAGGGGGCCTCCTGGTGCACGCCAGTGCGAGCTTGCACCCTCCAAGGCGCTCTGATTCCTTGGCTTTTGCTTCCTATCCAGCTGCTGTGAACCCACTTTCCTGAAGAAAAGTTCCATCCAAGGCCAGCTGGTGAAGGAGTTGGTGACCTGATGACTCCAAGCCAGAGTTTGTCAACTCTATCACTTTCTATTTGGCGATTTCAGTAAGCAAGTTACTCTGCCTCTTTATGCCTCGGTTTCTCATCTGTGAAGTGTGCAAAAGAGTGACTGTGGGAGACGGTGTGTGTGCACCATAGGCCCTTTCTGGAGCATTCGCACTGGCTGCCGTCAGCACGGGTGGAAACTAAGGCATTGGGGCCCTGCCACGCCCCAGTTGAAATTTGCAGAGGGGCTTGTCAAACTGCTGTTTAACCTCCCTCCCTTCCCACTCAGAGAGCCAGAAAAACTTCTTCCTAATGAAGTAATGTTTGGAGCATCCATTAAAAATGCAACGCCAGGAGATCAAAGTACAATATTTATTTTAGAAATTTGTTGCAATCACCAAGAGATACAGGTATCAAGGCCAAATGTCAGTTCCGTTACACAAAGCCCCGCGTCGGGGAAGAGCGTGTGGCTGCTCTGCCATAATGTAAAGAGACATCAAAGACCAAGCGCGCTGCAAAAGTGCGCAGCCGGGAGGGCCGGGAGCGCCCCAAACGGCGTGGGGGCTGAGAGGGCTGCGGGGGCGGGGGTCAGTTCAAAGAGGTATCCGCTGGGGCTTGAGTTCACAGGAGGGAAGATTTAATGGGCTTTCCTTTGTTAGTGGGTGTATTTGTGCGCCGCGGACCCAGGAACTCCTACGTGGTCCTCCCGCCTGGGGGCAGAGGTGGGGGAGCCTCAAATGCGGAGCAAACTTTCTCCGCGGCTGGGGGCGGGGAGGTGGAATCCCGGTCTCCCAGCAGCGGCCCGCGCGGCCCAAGGCTTCCAAGCAGTAGGTTCCGAAGCTAGGAAGTTTGCACCGCAATTTCTTCGCAGGCGAGCTGCTTACTAGAGTTCACCCGGTGCGATTTGCGAGAAGCTGGTGGGAGAACCCGCAGAGGCTCTTGTGCAAGGGCGCAGACCTGCTCTGTGTGCTCCGGGATACTCCCCACCCCCACCCAGTATATCAACTGCTCACTCAAGCCTGAGCCGTGCCTCGGGCATTTTCTTCCAGCATCTGGGCACCTACGTCTCTGGCATAAAGCCAACCAGACATTTATCCCTCTGGACTTGACATTTTTCAAATGTGCATGTTATTTAGGTCTCGCAACAAAGTTTTTTAACTCACTGGCCTTTTGCAGGGGCATTGTCTAACCTGCTGGATCTGGCCCCTTCCCGCCAAAGGAAGTTACTGTGTAGTTAGTAGTTAGGACAGCAGCAGTCATTGTTTTATTAAAGGTGCTGGGACGGAAGGGGGAAGACGTTTCCTCCTGCAAATGGGGCACTGAGCCGGAAGGAGGATGCCTGTGCATTGCTTCAGTCAGCTACCACCAAGCAATCTCAGAACAGTCCCCGGCGGCCTTTTGAAGTCATGCTACAGCAGAAAGCTGCTATTGTTCTGGGCTCTCAACATGGAAGGGATCAAACTTTGCCTCTTCAGTTTGAAAGATTTCTTTTTAATGGTGGTGGTGGAGGGGCGGTAGGGATTGCAATCTGATACTCTGAGTTAACTTGGAGGATTTGTGCAACCTCCCTGTTTAAGCTATAGACCAAGTTTTAGATGCTCTAGCGCCTGTGTGTGATGTAGACAAGTCTCTTCATCATTAATATGGTGGAGGGTTCAGTCACAAGCATTTGTCCTGCTGAGAATCTGGTTTGTTGACCAAGTGTTCCCTTGGCATGTTTCCCTTCCGTGGAAATGGGAATATTTCTGCAAGAAACCTTGAGTTCACTGAAGCTCCCAAATTGGGTCAGTATATACTGAATGCAAAACTAGGGAGGATCCTTTATTTCATCTAATTCTACTCCTTCATTTGATGACAAGAGGAGCCATTTGAAAGTGTTTGCATGATGTGTCGTGCATGCACGGTGTTCTGAACTTCAGTAGGTGCTCAATAGATGCTCACTGGTGCTGGGAGGTAGCAGTGCCATCTGCACAGTGATCATGTGGTGCGAGGAGCACACAGATGCGGTAGGAATTCAGAGGACAGGGCTGGGGAGGACTGCAGAAAGGCAGGAAGCTTTACCAGCAGCTGGGATCTGAAGGAGACTATAAAGACCTGTAGAGTTTTAGTGTGCCAGCTAGAAAGGAAGGAGGGGAGGATGGAAGGGACAGAAGAGCAAAAAGAACTCTTATTTCAGCAAGAAGCCAAACAATGATGAAGTTCTGGGCGTTTGTTTTGTTGGTGTAGACAGGGTGGGGCCATTTGGAAAAGCCAGCTAGAGCAGTTTGCCCCCATGCTGGGTATAGTAGGAGTTTATTATAAGCTCCCAAACAGGTGAATACTGGGCAAGTCAATTCTGTATCTGAACCTCTGTGCCCTAGGAGGACTGGAAGGACAGCTGCAGAGGCAGCTGTCCAGGTGTGAGATGGTGACACTTTGGGAGCTGGGAGTAGTGGTGAAAGAGTGGCTCGGCATTCTAAAGGGGAAAAGGGCAAAATCTGGTGACAAGATTTGGAATAAGAAATAAAATACAGAAAAAACAAAGACCCCACTTTTGAACAAATGATGGTGGGGCAGCTGGATATCCACCTGTAAAAGAATGGAGCTGAAGTCTGGCCCAGTCCTAGCTACTTGGAAGTCGGAGGCAGGAAGATCACAAGTTCAAGGCCAGACTGGGCCACATGATGAGTCCAAGGCCAGCCAGAACTATGTATCAAGACCCTGTTGGTTTTTATTAAAGGTGATGTTGGGGATGAATGGATGAGGAAAATGTGGTGTCTGTACACTGTGGAGGTCTATTTCACCTTAAAAAGATTAGGGTTATTTTACTTATAATAATGTGAACAAACTTGGAGGAGAGGATGTTAAGTGAAATAAGTCAGGCCTAGAAAACAAAGGCCTCATGTTCTCATAGGTGCAAGCAAAAAGCCAGTCCTAGAGATGCAGAACGTAGAAGCAGCTTCTGGGAAGGGAAATGGAGGGAGGAATAGGGAGAGGCTGGTTAATGGCTATGAAACTAAATCACTGGAATAAACTGTTGTGTTCCACAGCTCAAGAGTCACATAATAGGGTGATGATACCCCATAATAATTTTGTCTGTGCTAGGAACTGAGCATAAAGCCTTTGCACTGACCCTCATAGCTAGGCACCCTTTCTGACAGGGTCTTGCTAAGTTACCTGAATTGGGCTCAGACTTACAACCTTCCTGTCTCAGCCTCCCTGAGCATTGGGATTATAGGCCTGCACCTGGCTAATTGTGTATTTAAAACAGTTTGAAGACTTTGGATATTTCTGACACAAGAAAGTAATAAATGTTTGAGGTCCTGGATATTCATATTACCCCAATTGATCATTATATGTTAGATCCATAAAATATTACCTACACGCCATACTCTGTAGCAATTAAAAATAATTCTATTGTTTATAAGCATAACTCAGTTGCCGTAAGAAGGAGAGTAAGGAAAGGCAAGAG